AGAAAATTTTTCTAAGTCCCCACCAATTCTTAAACTTGCCTAAAGATAACCACTACTTCCCAGCATGACACGTCAATAATAAAGCTCACCAAAAATAGTTGCCCTTCCCATAAGGGCACTTTAGCACAACTACTTGCCAAACAAGTTCATCTCATCCCCAACAAAACACATCATCACACTAAGCTCACCAAGACACAAAAACCTCTTGCCAAAATACTATTGCTCCAATTCTCTTTAACTTTTCTTCACAAACTTTGGACAACTTCTGATAACAGTCACTTTATAACCCCCTCAAACTTGGAGGAAAATTATTATGCCTAAGTAAATTAGTCAATGGTCAAAATTTAATCAACGCATCAAGACCTTCGGATCTCGGGTCACCCAGACGAAGCACACCCAAACAATCATGTCACCTATTTTAAGGAGACATCTCACCATCTACTAAGGGAAGAACTCGTCCAAGGTTCTATCAATGACTTGTTAAGACAGTCATTTTGGAACTGATCAATGGGTCACCAACTTACTCGAAATCATTAAATGCAAATCCAAGATCATTAAATGTGACCAACGCCTACCTAAGATCATTAAATGCAATTCTTATCCATTCATGTGGACCTTTCTCGAGTTTCACACAGATATCTTTTCAACTGTCAATCGTCTTAGTTAGATCATGACCTTTTGTCTTACATTAGAGATAAAGGGATCATTAAATGCAATTCCTATCCATTCATGTGGACCTTTCTCAAGTCCCACACAGACATCTTTTCAACTGTCAATCGTCTTAGTTAGATCATGACCTTTTGTCTCACACTATAGATAAAAGAAGAACTAGATACATAATATAACACAGAAAAAAGAACAAAAAAAATCGTCATTCTTTATATTCTCTTACTACTAAAACTTCTCCCACACACTTCATCATTTTTATCTACTTTGCTTCCTACTTTTACCTTAGGTACTACGTTGACTTGAGCGTTTGAGCACACTCCAGAATAACAACTCAGGCAATCCTGACTGTGCTTTCTGGCTATATGTTATAGCTGTCTTTCTTTCTTGCCTCACTTCCCTCATTCCAGTTAAAATAACAAAAAAAACCATCAACATGTCTTATGAATAATTTAATAATTAATGTAACAGAATATATTTAAATAAAATACTATTTAATATGATAATTTTTTGAAATCTTAATTTAAAAATTTAAAAATTGTAATTATTAAATTTTGAATTTCAAATACATTAAATGTCATTTTTTTTTTCAAATTATTGAACAAATTAATTAAATTAAACTCAAAATTTTAATATGATAAATTTAAAGAATGCTTAGTTTAAAAAAAAATCTGACTAGCCAGGAGAAAGAGTACTTGGTAGAGCTAAATATGTAGGTGAAAAATTATTACTAAATCAAAATCTTGACGGGCATTGAAGGAGAAGGATAGAAGAGTGACAACTATTCAAGGATTGAATTTAATTTTTTGGACGCCAAATTAGATGAAAAACCTAAAATACGGCTTTTATATATCTTGTCATTGTCAACACCTATCTAGCAGTGAGCTTACGGTCGACGACCACCTACCATAATTATTTTTTAGGCTGCCTAAACTCATAATTAAGCACCAACATTTGTTTGGGTTGTTCCTACCCTCCAAAATTTTTACTTTAACCCTATAGGAATTCTCTCATATTGCTTTTTGAATTTTCTTTTTTTTTTTTATTAATTGAAATTGTCAAGATAGAATTTGAATTCTATTATTGAAATTTAAAATTTAGTATTTTATCATAGATTATAGGTGTTAGTAATATTTATTTTATGGATTTTATTAATGGAAAGTAATATATTTAAAAACATTTGTTAAGGTTAAATAATATTTTATGAGTTTATATTTAATATACTATTAACATATAGATTTTATATATTTTGTGTCAAGCAGACGATGATATCCCATTAATAAAATGAATTAGATGAATGATCTTATTAATGAATAATTTTTTTAAATAATATTATTTTTTATCTATTTTTTTGTTGATATTTGCTCATCATAATCTAATTCACTGTTAACATATAAAATTTATTTATAATGCAACTAAATGTAAACTCATATATTATGAGTATTATATTTGCATTAAATGTAATAATTGATACTTAATATGTATTAGTAATATTTATTTTATGGATTTTATTAGCGGAAATGAATATACTTAAAAGCATTTGTTAAGGCTAGTTAATATATTGTTTAGAATATTATATTTGCATTAAATGCAATAATTGATACTTAATTTGATGATTTTTAATGTGTTGAGTGACAATTTTGTTCAAAATATTAATTTTAATAAATGTAGCTAACAAAACCATTATTTGCGAAAAAGCCCTTAAAATTGTTCAAAAAAGAGATTAGATTCATACCAAATTTAGAGTTGGAGACATCTTCGACCGTATTTCCAAAAAAATGAAACTTTTATTTCTTTTTTTTTTTTTTACAATAAATGAAACCCTTGTTTTATTTTATTATATTTAGTAAATCTGGTAATTTTTTATATAATTTTAATAACTTTTGATATAATTTCATAATCTTTATAATAATTTTAATAACCTTTTATATAATTTTGATAGTATTTTATAATAATTTGGTATTTGATATAATTTTGACAACTTTAGTTATAATTTTGATAATCTTTGATATAGTTTCGATAATTTTTTATATAATTTGCGAACTTTTTATATATAATTTTAATAACTATTGATATAATTTAGGTAACTTTTATAATAATGTTGATAACCTTTATAATAACTTTGATAATATTTTATATAATTCGGTAATTTTAATATAGTTTTAATAATTTTGATAGCCTTTGCAATAAGATTGATAAGTTTGATATAATTTTGATAACCTATGATTAATAATTTGGATAACTTTTGATATAATTATGGCAAACTTAATAATAATTTTGATAACATTTTAGTGAAATCAAAATTATTAAAATAGTTATCAAATTATATCAAATATTACCTAAATTATCGCAAAAATTACTATAATTATATCAAAGATTAACAAAATTAATAAAAAAAGTTATCAAAAGTATTTCAAAGATTACTAAAATCTATATCAAAAGTTATCATATCAAAGATTATTCAAATTATATTAAAGGGTATCAAAACTATATAAAAGGTTTCCAAAATAATATTAAATGTTACTAAAATTATATAAAAAATTACTAAAATTATATCAAAATTATTAAAATAATATCAAAATTATTGCAAAAGGCTATTGATTTATTATAAATCTTATCGAAACCATATCAAAGGTTACAAAATTATATAAAAATTTTCTAAAATTATATCAAATGTTATCAAAATATCAAAATTACATAAATACTTATCCAAATTTTGGCAAAGATTATCAAAATTGTTATAAAATTATTAAAATTATATAAAAAAATTATTAAAATTATATCATAATTTATCAAAATTATAACAATCACCACCCTCTACTCTTTCTTACGGCCTTTGCCATCAGCACCAACTCCCTTCACCAATAGTTGGCATATTCGTTTTCTTTGTGTTCTTTGAGAACTGCTATCATCATTCCTTTTAATAATAAATGTTATCTTCATTACTTTTTTTCCTTTTCCTTCATTATTAGTTTAAAAAATAATTTTTTTTTAAAGTTACTTCACCAGTGATTAGTTTTTTTAAACTAGTGTAAAAATTTTGTTTTAGCTTAAAAAAAATACATACATGCATAAATATCCTTTGCTTTTTATTCTAATTTAATTTTGGCTTTTTAATAAATATAATCAATTGAATTGATCAATTTAACTTGTAACATCAACTCAGTCAAACACCTTAATATTACTGTGTATATATATATAATTGACGTATACATATTACATAGTTTTTTTTTTTTTGAAATATATTTAATAGACTGTTAAATGGCACGATGGCATAACGTATATAATCCCATATGTAACCGACACTTTGCCAGCTACAAACTAAACATGGTCTTTGATTAATAAAATGTAGGGATAGTCTTGGCAGATGCAGATGTTAGGTCATGATATGGACACGTCAACTTTAATTCACTTTAATTATTTGTATTCACATCCATTTTATATTTTCTTTGGGTTATTTTTTTACAGTTAGTCAATGACGTGGGGAAGATATATTTTTGTTCATAATCATACATAATGTGAAATATATATATATATATATATAGAATATATAATCATAAAAGATTAATAACATTTACATTACTTTTTTTCTCTCATAGCGTACTAGCATAGCAATGATTAAAAAATAAGTGAAAAAACACATTTTTATTTTTTTATTTGAAGAAAAGAAATTTAAACTTTATTAATTGAATAAAAAATCATACATCAATTACTAAATTAACAAATGAAAATGTATAATTTTTTCTTAATTAAGTATTCAATCATACTAATTATCAAATACTATTCAATACTTCCATAAGTTGCATTATATAGCAATAATGTTTCCATTTTTTAAAATTTAAATTAAAAATTGCTTTAACATGTAGGCATATTGGTTGTTCCCGGTTAAGTCGTGTCCCCTCAAGATGATGAACAAATTTTTAAGCCTAAAAAAAGACGTAATTGTTTAAGAATTAATACATTGTTCCACAAACAAATTTATACTTGAATGTATCATTAATTGAAATGTAATAAGAAAAAAAGTTATAAATATTTATCTCAAAATTTTCATATTCTATCAATTAACATTCCCCAAAATCGATAAAGGTTTATGTCAGTAAAACTTAAAACAGAGAAATTAAAAATGGAGCTTTTTGACTTTAATGTTTACTTTACACTACGATTTATGCATGAATTTAGGAAAATCGAAAATGGAGGGCGATGAAGAGGTGGGTAATGTGGGATTCCTACGGGAAGTGGGGTCCGGGCCTTAACCACGGAGGAAAGCAGGCGAGGGGGGGGGGGGAGGGTTTGGGCTTTGGATTTACCCTTCCATTCGTGGTGACCACAACAATGGTGAAACCCACTACCGACAGTGTCTTTCGTGTCAAGCATTAAACAAAGCAAACAGAAGTGAAAGAGAGAAAAATAAGGGAAGATTGAGACAGCAACGCAGACATTCCAATAAAGGGTGCAAAGATAAGAAGAACCTGTAAAAACTTATTCATTCGCTGTCTCTGCAATAAAGTGGAAGAAGCAGAAACAGAGAGAGAGAGAGGAGACAGAATAGCTAAGTTTATAGAAGGATAAGATTTGATCTCTCTCTCTCTCTCTCTCTCTCTCTCTCTCTCTCTCTCTTCTGTTTATCTTATTTGTATGAAGAAGCAGATTCCAGGGACACTGTGAAGAGGTTTTTAAAGATTCTGTAAGTTTCTTGTGACATATTTGTTCTTTTCAGTCTTTCTCTTTTTCTTCCATGATGGTAATGGTTAGCCATGTGTACTAAATGCTTGTTCTTTTGTGAATTTTTAGGTGTGATTTGATTTTGTAGTTTTTGAGCTGGATTATAAGTGTTTTAATCAGATTTGATTTGATGGGTGTTTCTGCTTCATTGCTTCTTGTTTTTTCTACTCTTCTGTGTGAGCAAAGCATCCTGAATTTTCATCGGATTTCTATAGTATTTGGGTAGGTTGGCTGGTTAATTTGTTTCTTTGGAATCGTTGTTGGCTTGGTTGTTGAATTTTGAGCCTTGTGAAGATGGATTGGTAATTCGGTTGAAGAGCTTGTACCTTAATCATGAAATATATTTCAATATACAAGATATTGGGAAAGAATGAAAAGGGTAGGCTGGCAATGAGATCTGATTTTTAACTTGGTCGGAGAAAGAATAATGTGGCTGGAAGCAAGGTTTTCATTTGCAAAACTGGAGTTGGTACCCTTTTTCTGGCATTGCAAATAACATGCTTCCTACTCCATGTTTATGTAGGTAATAGGTTATAACTTGTAGATCCAGCAGATAGGGGGCACTGAATAAAATTTCACATGAAGTTCACTGTTGTTGATATGCGAATCATAAGATGGAGGGCAATAAATTTAATCTCTCACTGTCTCCTATTTTTCCGTTATGATGGTGCTTATATTACTCTTTGAGACTAATGAGCTCTTTAATGTTTATCTTTTGCAGATTGCAGTTCATGTTAGATATGGGAACTCATGCAGTTGATTCCGAGGGTGCGGACTCAGATATATACCTTGCTTTGGGACTCAAAGAATTTAGTAAAGGGGCTATTGGAACACCGCCAATTTTATCACTACTTTCTTCAGTTCTTGAGAAATCTGTCCAAAAAAATGAGATGCAATCAGAGACAGTGAGCATTAAAGATAACGTTGCACTCTTTCATGGGTTAAGAGCTCCCACCATAAGCATTCAGCAATATATTGATCGCATCTTCAACTATGCTGGCTGCAGTCCTTCATGCTTTCTTGTTGCCTACATTTATGTGGATAGATTCGTTCAACAAACTGATGTGCATTTGACGTCTCTTAATGTTCATAGGCTCCTTATAACTAGTGTTATGGTAGCAGCAAAATTTATTGATGATGCGTAAGTGTTAACCTTTCTCACAACTCATCACTGATAAGGAGCTCATTCTCACTGTTTTGAAAACTAGGGTTTCTTCGGACAAAGAACAATTAGTTTGATTAGAAGAAAAGTACATTTTGCAATATTTCACTGCATTGTCATTTGCAGGTTTTTCAACAATGCATATTATGCCAGAGTGGGAGGGGTAAGCACAGCTGAGTTGAACCGCTTGGAAATGAAATTTTTGTTTACTCTAGATTTCAGACTTAAAGTGAACGTCAATACATTTCAGAGATACTGTGCTCAGCTGCAAAAAGAATCTTCAGAATCGCATCAAATTGAATGGCCTATCCGAGCTTGTGGAATTAAAGAGAGTTGGCCAAGCAAAAGCAATACACGATGTGCTCCTACAATTGCAAGATGAAGATACGAAGTAATCTCATTGTATCAGTACAATCCCGCATTACGTTTGAATATAATCAAGTTAGAGAATTTGGATGATGAATAATGATCTGATTGTAGTTTTATTGATGATTCTTGAAGAAAACAGCAGGCTGCTCACTTGCATCTTTTTTTTTTTAATGCCATTAGCATGATTGTTTCCATCTTTCATTCTGTTGGTTATTTTTCAGCGTGCACCTTTGAGGTGCTGCAACTTGTATTTTTGCTTTTAGTCTCCTCGTGCAAAGGACTTGTTGTATATTAAAGATTTGACTTTGTGGTCATGAAAATTATTTTTCCATGATTTGGTCATAGTTTTCTAAATGACATAGCATTCTCCTCTTCCATGTTTATTTGAGATACAAGTGAAATCATCAAATCATATGTATGGAACTTTGGATTGTATTGCAATTCAATTCTTATTAGTTGATAAGATGCATCTTGCAGCATAAGAATAGTAGCAGAGCAATACAGTGTGTGACAAAGGGAAATCTTGTCATTAGATAGGAATAATGTAAATGTAATTACTATACATAATGAGATGAGGAGTACAAAATATAGTGAGGTTTTTGTAGCAAAGGTAGAAAAATTGAAAACCCTATCTTACACTACAAAAATCTGCATTTTCAAGGACCCTTTGCACTTTTATTAGACCCAGCAGCATATATTTTAATACAAAGCTGTATCCTCTATACGGCACCTCATATTTCCAACATCAATATGCCATAAGTTTCTGATGTCCGTTTCCGACAGCTAGAGCATCCTCAAGTCAGAGATAATTTTTAAGACTTGCCCGCGAGATACATCCAACAGCATTATCCGGGCGTCTCTCCAGTGCAAACCAACCAAACTTCCCTTTTCGAAAGTCATACAGGATACGGAATGCTGCTTGGTGGACATCTCCATTGAGCAAGCAAAGACAACCTACTAATACACATGGATCCGCATTTGATTCCTGATTATGATTTGGGAGTCTTTCCCAGATTATCAGCTCAAATTTTCAAGTGAAAATTATAAGGTTCCAGATTAAGATATACAATTTTACCGCACTGACCATCCACATCGACTTTGTCACGGTTTTGAAGAGCTTTCATCCCTGGAAAGCACAAAAAGAAAATTTGTTAGCAGCAGCTAGTTTCAGCCAAAAGCTGAAAGCTTGAAATCCAGTCAACTGTTGTAACCAGCAAAACAGCCTTAAGGAAAAATGTAAAGAACTAAAAATTATGCAATTGAGAATTGCATTCAAACAATCAATCAAAAAAATTTTCCGTGGTTATATTTAGCTCTTCAAATACAAATGACTGCCTTTTAAAGAAAAATTGACTATGCCACACTCTTTATGGCATAGAAAAAACTACCATTTTTCAGAAAATGTGAAATACATCCATTATATCCTTCCTGAAAAAGAAACAAGGAAAAAGAATTATGTCATCGTAATACGAAATGGGCCTATCGAGATCTTCTGTCCCCATTTTGAATCTCTATTATCCTCTAACTTCATCAGTTCAACTCCCAACAGCTATTTAAAAAGTCCCCTGTATCAAAGATACTATCAAAGGTTTTTTGGCCTGATGTTGGTTTCAATTTTGCAATTCATAATTTATTATTTTATCTCTACAAAAGAATTTTGTAGATACTTTTGGATTCAAATTTATGATTTTCCTTATGGTCGATGGGGTTAGCTAGTTGGTATTAGTATTCAATAAAGTCACTTCATTTTAAATGGATTTTAGTTTTGACTTTTAACTCGAATATTTCATGTGTTTCTTGCAACGTCCATCTATTATAGGAGCATTTCTTTTCTTTTTTTTTTTTTTTCCTTATAATAATTTTACAAAAGATTCAATTTTTTTCCTATTTAGAAAATGTAATATGTATATTTGGGCCTCTTGGGCTTTTCTATAACTTGGCCTTAGGCCTAGTTATAAAATATGTGGTAAAATATTGAATAATTAAAATTATCATATTCACATCTAGTAATTTCTTTTGAACTTGTAAAGTTTGAATTACTTGCATTGAGCCGTATCAATTCAGATAAATTCATCTTGGTTTTGGGAACATATAGACATTATTTCTTAAAATATATTAAAATGAAATATATTAATCTTCTAATTCTGTTTATGAATTAACTATTAATGCATAAAAACAAACTCTTCGTAAATTTTTTGGAGGTAGAAATTCTATTTGAAGTTATAAATTACAATATCAAAACACTCGTTGTTGAAGCGTTGAACAACATTTTGGGCCCAAACTATTGGGTTAGTCCTCGTGAATCCACCGTGACACATGGTCTCAACTCTGCTGACACATGGGGCAAAGATTCTTTGAAATTTAGTGTCTAATTGGAGGAAAAAAAAAATTGATTATGATAAAATATAAAATAGAGATGGAAGTAAAATTAATTATTGTAAGAGAAGATTAAAATTAATAGTTGGATATGTATTTAAATATTAAAATAGTTACGATTATGAAATGAATTATAGTTAAAAAAATAAAATGATCATTAAAAATATTTAAAAAATTAATAAATAATTTAAAATTAATAATAAAAATAAAATAAATTTATTTATTAACTTATTATATGATAATAAAACTTATTTATTTATTTATATTATATAATAAAAATCAATATTTATTTATATATTTATTATCTAACAATAAAAAATAAAAAATTTAAGTATTTAAAAGATATTTGAAGATTTTAATTAAAAGTTTAAGAATAAAATTTTTTAAAAAAATAAAGATTGCCATGGATAAAAAGTTTGATGGCTGAAGGTCACCAATCGTAGCACATCAAACATCCATGTGGATTTCAAAGATCAATCGACACTGAAAATAATGGCAACCGACGTCAATGCAGCCTTAGATCTTGAAGATCTTCCGTTTGAGGATGCAATTCCATCTTGTTTAGAATCTTTACTTCAAAATACAGACACGAATCTCATACAAATTTGAAGAACGATTTAGGTGATAGAACACAATAAATACTGTGGTGCTATGCATTTGTAAAAGAAAATCTAGCAAGTTGCCACACTCCCAACTTCTTCTGGTTAGCAGCTGTGTGTCACGGAACACGCGTTGATATGCCCACTTCACGTTGTCGCGCGGCATTAAGATTATTCTTAGCGAAAACCAGCCTTTCATAAGTTTATTTTTCTACATGAAAAACTCGTATGCACATTAGCGTCTCACATTAAAAACCTATATTGGTTCGATCTCGCTGGGTTGCCAGTAATATTTTGAAACACATTGATAGAGGATAAACAACTCTCACCATTAACCGGCATTTTAACTTTGGGAGGTCTCAAGCACCCAAGCAATGCTATTCAAGCATCATGATCTTAAAATTTTAATAAAAATTTTAAATCAATATATTAATAGAGTTTAATGTAAAGATTAATAATATGTAACAATATTATTAAAAATATTATTTATAATTTAAATTTAATCGATATTTATTCAATAATAAAAATTCTATCAATAATTTTACTAAAAATATTTATTTAAAAATATGTATCAAAATTTATTAAATTATTTTAAAAAATTTTACATACATAATTTATGTAACGAAATTTTTTAATATATTAGTTTTAATTTTTAATTTTAATTTTTATTTAATCGTTTTTAATAAAAAATTTTACAATTTTCACTTAAAAAATTTTATTTAAATCTTTTTCTCTCTTTCTATAACATGATGACAACGCTGTTGGGATTTGTCTTGAATCTCATAATCTCATATCGAAAATTAAAGTGAAGTTATAAGAGTTTGAGTTATCTTATATCCTACACCAGAAGTTTAGTAAAAATATAAAGGATTTTACCCTTATAAATAAGATGTTTTGGCTTTAGTTTAGTAATCCCAAATAATTAGACACTAAGAGAATAGCTAAGTAAGTAAACTATTAAAGAATGTAATTAGGTTTTGCGTTAAATTTTGAGTAAAGAGTTTTTGATGACTTTTTTCATTCTAAAAATCTTACAATTGTAAAGATTTATTTGTTAGTGGATTGAGTTTGGAGTAAACTGTTATGAGTTAGGTCAAAACAAAAATATCTATGTGTTTTTATTCTTGATTTGAAACTTGTTATTTTGTGCATGAATGCTGCGTATACGTGTTGATTTTTAACAAGTTGTATCAAAACTATGGTGATTCTCAACAAGTGGTATCAGAGCGAAGAGGTAGGCCCAAGAGATTATGAAGTAAGCATTTCAATATGTTTAAAGAAAGTATGTCTAGTATGCCTAACCCTAAATTTGAAATTTCATTATTTGATGAAAAGAGTAATTTTATATTATGGTAAAATACAATTAAAGATTTGTTAATACAACAAGGCTTAGATTAAGCATTAGAAAGTAATAAGCCTGAAGGAATATTTGACAGTAATTGGAATAAAATTCAAAAGAAAGCTGTTAGTACTACTAGATTGGTGCTAACCCCAGAGTTAAAGTATAGTGTGTTGACTTAAAGTATTCCAAAAAATTTATGAGATAAGCTTGAGGGTATTTATGCATCGAAGTCATTAACTAATAAATTATATTTAAAGATAGATATGTATCTTTTAAAGATGATAGAAAATACAAGTTTTCATAATCACTTAAATAAGTTTAATAGATTGGTTTCTCAATTGCTAATGATTTTCTGTTGATGAGTTAAAAGATGAAGAGAAAACTTTAATTTTACTGTCATCTTTGCCCAAGTCTTATAGGCTTTTAGTTCAGACTTTATTGGTAGATAGGTCTATTTTAAAGTTGAATGATGTAACTGTCCTGAAGCGTGAGAACGAAAAGTTTATAAGAACACAGAACTGATCTCCTAGGGAGAGAATACTAGCTATAGAGGGTTTTGATCGAGGGATGACTCAAAAAAGGATTGATGGATCAAAAGAGAGATTCAAGTTAAAAGATAGAGATTACAGTGACATAAAATATTATTATTATGGTGAAAAAGGACATCCAAGTGCACTTGCAAGAAGTTGAGAAGGGATATGATTGCTTTCAAAAAGATAAATAATAAAAGGTGATACTGCTACTATTGTGTCTGATAATGATGTTGTTATTTTGATGACTTGTGTAGATAAGACTTAAACTTTGAAAAGTGATAAAAGTTAGGTTTTAGATTTAACTACTATAGTCATATTTGCAATTATAGGAGTTGCTTTGTGAAGTTGGATGAGAATAAGAAGTATGGGGATATTGTGATTGCTAATAACAAAAAGGTACAGATTCAAAGTATTGAAAATGTTCACCTTAGATCTTACAATGGTGTTATTAGGACACTTTGTCATATAAGGTATATACTGAGTTGTAGCTATAATTTGATTGCTTTAGGTGAGTTAGTTTCTCGAAGGTACACATACTATGATAGTAATGATCCATTAAAAGTGTACAAGAATGATAATATGATTTTACAAGGGAATAATGTTAAAAATCACTTATACATACTTGATGGAGGCTCAATTGCTAAGATTCTTATGATGAAAGAAAAGAAGAAAAGTAAGCGTGTCAACTTTACATATATTGTTAAAGTGTTTAGAGATTCAAGTCAATGAATGATTTGTTG